CTGCCACCAATTATCAACGGATCATAACTGCCAGACGTCTGATGTTTACGTTTATTCTTTCTATAGCAAAATAATTATTACAGGATTCCAATGCAAAGGGAGAAATAATATTCTTATTATTTCTAGTCATGATTACCTTTACTCGTCATACCTGCCTTATACAACAGAATGGTGTTTTGATAATCTTTCAAAATCGCAAGTCGTTTACTTTTCTTGTGTTTAAACCCTTGAGTCAGTTGGCTCGTTCCTGAATGGTTGGATCCATATAAACACAGAGGGCCAGACTCCAAGTATAACCCTGTTATACAAGGTCCGACAATTAAGAAATGAGACTGATTTTACTACAAGACGAAAGTGCCATCTATGAAGCAAAGCATGGAATCCAAAAAGGCAATTTTCTTCTATGATCTGACAGCTTTGCATTGCCTCCTGGTAAGCAGAAGACAAACAAGCAGCCATTTTATTGACCTAGTTAAATGTGCATTGTTACGAAATCAGCATGAAGCAGAAAGCTAACATTAAATTCTGTTTAAAACTTAGAAAAGGCGCCATTGAGACAGTTGAATTGATGCAACAATTTAATGGGGATAATTGTTTATCTGGTGCACAGATTTTCAGGTGGTATTCACGATTCAAAAGTGGTGTAGAAATGATTACCAATGCAACTAGACCTGGACGCCAATTTTTTGTTTGTTAACGTGTGAGTGCAACATAACACGTGATTAATGTTTAATGTTAGGTTTAATACAGAATTTATTTCACAGCACTCGGGACATTCCCATACCCCCTCTGTCCCTATCCTCAGAGTTCCAATTCCAGTGGCACCAATAGCAGTGTGATTGTTTATCCGTCTCAACTTTCCCTTGGGTACTATTCGTCGACCAGACAGCTTGCTCACTCCTGACACTATCAGTATCTTCATATCATGATGATCTAAATGTTCACTCGCCCCTAAAGAGCCCTTAATACATCTAACTTGTCATGCATCAGTTCACCACAAGTTTGTGCAGAACCAGCTAGTCCACGGGGCATACCAGTGTCCACATGTCTCAACATGATCTGGAGACTGTTACAATTACCACATGTGTGTAAAGCTGATTCTCAGGCCAGCGAGGGCTGCAGTGCCTGCCTCCGTCTTCAGTTTCAGACTAGATGTAGTGATGTCATATGCCAGGCTTGTTGCGCTAAGAGACATCCGTTCACTTTCGTTAAGAACCCCTTTGCGCTTCGCCTGCCTCTCAGCAAAGAGAACATGCTTGATACCATCAACAAAGAGAACATGCATGATACCATCAACAAAGAGAACATGCTTGATACCATCAACAAAAAGAACATGCATGATGCCATCAACAAAGAGAACATGCATGATACTATCAACAAAGAGAACATGCTTGATACCATCAACAAAGAAAACATGCTGGATACCATCAACAAAGAGAACATGCCTAATACCATCAACAAAAAGAGCATGCTTGATACCATCAACAAAGAGAACATGCTTGATACCATCAACAAAGAGAACATGCATGATACCATCAACAAAGAGAACATGCTTGATATCATCAACAAATAGAACATGCTTGATACCATCAACAAAGAGAACATGCTTGATACCATCAACAAAGAGAACATGCTTGATACCATCAACAAAGAGAACATGCATGATACCATCAACAAAGAGAACATGCTTGATACCATCAAAAAAGAGAACATGCTTGATACCATCAACAAAGAGACCATGCTTGATACCATCACCAAAGAGAACATGCTTGATACTATCAACAAAGAGAACATGCTTGATACCATCAACAAAGAGAACATGCTTGATACTATCAACAAAGAGAACATGCTTGATACCATCAACAAAGAGAACATGGTTGATACCATCAACAAAGAGAACATGCTTGATACCATCAACTACGAAAACATGCTTGATACCATCAACAAAGAGAACATGCTTGATACCATCAACAAAGAGAACATGCTTGATACCATCAACAAAGAGAACATGCTTGATACCATCAACTACGAAAACATGCTTGATACCATCAACAAAGAGAACATGCTTGATACTATCAACAAAGAGAACATGCTTGATACCATCAACAAAGAAAACATGCTTGATATCATCAACTACGAAAACATGCTTGATACCATCAACAAAGAGAACATGCTTGATACTATCAACAAAGAGAACATGCTTGATACCATCAACAAAGAGAACATGCTTGATACTATCAACAAAGAGAACATGCTTGATACTATCAACAAAGAGAACATGCTTGATACCATCAACAAAGAGAACATGCTTGATACCATCAACTACGAAAACATGCTTGATAACTGATAAAATTGATAAATATATGAGGAAAAGGCAAGGGGAAAGCAAAAAGAGAAATTCTTTGATGGCTTCCCCACGTGTATGGGGCGGGATGACAGTACTGTCCTGATCCGTGATTTTCCTCATCTGTAGAATGGCGAGTCATGAATGCTCTGGCTTGTCCATATGATACGTGACGATGATGATATTTCCAGGGAGAGGTTGCGTTGTGCTTTAAGGGGGTAATAGAAAAAAAAAATTATGAACCTACGCTCAACCGCTTTCAAACAGATCAGGGACGATTTTAAACCCCGATTTCAATTAAAGCAGTGGCCTGTCATTTAAAAACAGAGCTCCTGAAGTAAACAGCGAAGCCAAAACAGACATTGCAAAGCGAATAAGGGCGGACACAAGAAAATATCTACATGACCAAGTCTTAAAAAGCAAAAGTAATAGCAGCGAAAAGAAACATTAGGGACTCACAAAGAGAAATTTGAAGAAAATTACTCAGTCAAGGAATAAATCAACAGTAGTAATGGACATAACAGAAAGGTCAATAACTGTGAAGAACTTCTGAATAGATTAGCCACCCCCCCCCCCCTTTCCCCCCCCCTCCCCATGTCATGATTATTATTCCTAATGACCACACTAACATGCCATAGGTGTCACATCTATGCAAATCAGATGAGCGAATGCAAAAGTTTGAATTTAACCTACACTGAAAGCGAAATCAAAATCATCTGTGCCCCAGTCAACCGAGCAGACCACTGGGTAAATGAAAACTCAACAACGGAGCCAGAGATGTGAAAGTCTTGCTTTAATGGGGATTTTGTTTGGGACACATGTCAGACATAATACATGTTTCAGATATGTTCTACTGAGAGATGTCTCATTCCTACTGTAAATGTGACATTCTACGAAGAAATGAAAAGACAATATAAGGGTATTGCCGTTCTGGTATTTATTATTATCTGTGACATGTGGTACAACATTTTGCCTTCCCAGTTAAGCGAAGGTGGACCTAACTGGTTTCTGAGGAAGGCTTAATATTTGCATGTCCATGACAGTAGGACACATTCAGCATCTGTAATCATTTATAGCATCTTTCACACGTTTATTTTGACCTTTCATACTGACAGTCAAATAAAATTCATGACATTGGTCATCTCAAGAAGTCGGTACATCACTGGAGATTGACTGCTCACTACCCTCTGGTTCTCGGCTTTTTATATCATCTTAATGTTTGAATTATAGGATTTGTATTGTTATGTTAGAAATCATTACACTGACAAAATGTCTAACGTGCCCTGCTCTATCCAAAGTTAAATATAGGTCAATTAAGATGAGTGAGAGCACCATATATATACCATCCGTTTGCTCATAAAGACATGAAAGAAAAAAGGGGAAAAAAAGGGGGGGGGGGATTCAGACGCATCAAATCTCCCAGTAATGTTACTGACAATTAGAATATATGCTGAAAGATTAGAAAAAAGAAATAGCGGAATCTCTCAAGCCGACAGGTTTAAGACAATTCACATAAAAGATATGAAAAAATATGACCTCGAGGATAATGAGGACAATCAACTTAGGATGTCACTGAGTAAACTGACTCACTTAAACGAATCAGCAAGACAAAAATGGAACTACTTGTAGTTACCAATCTAGATAAGTTAGAATTCATGCTAAAAACAACAGACAGGAAGATAAAAACTACAGCTAACAACAAATATGAAAATCCGAAAATGGAAACTAGGGAGTATATGGGTACAAACTACAACTGCCTCAGCTTGCTAAACGAAGAAATGCAATCTAGAATAAAATATGGAAATAAGATATACTGGGCCCTGCAGCTTATGCTAAAAGCAAACGCACGTAACACCATCTCGTAACACCAGGATCAGTAGTAGTAGTAGTAGTAGTAGTAGTAGTAGTAGTAGTAGTAGTAGCAGTAGTAGTAGTAGTAGTAGTAGTAGTAGTAGTAGTAGTAGTAGTAGTAGTAGTAGTAGTAGTAGTAGTAGTAGTAGTAGTAGTAGTAGTAGTAGTAGTAGTAGTAGTAGTAGTAGTAGTAGTAGTAGTAGTAGTAGTAGTAGTAGTAGTAGTAGTAGTAGTAGTAGTAGTAGTAGTAGTAGTAGTAGTAGTAGTAGTAGTAGTAGTAGTACCCCACCAGAGCCAGGGTGCGGCTTCAAAATAAAGAAAAATTGCACCCTACAAGTGGATGACTATAGACCAAGATCACAGAATATATAGATGTAAAACTGACGAGAACAATTGTCACATGTGGCTCTGAAACATGGAATATGACTATACACACATTTGAAAACAGAGTTTGGCGATGAATCTTTGGACCCGTCAAATATGCACATCGCTGAGAATGGAGAGTGAAACCAACAATGAAATCCATAATATTTTAAAAATCACCACTAATTACTGTCATAATGGTTAACAGGCTCTAATGTTTGGGGTGGAGAGATAATATTCAAAGAGACCTACAGGCCGTCTTGCTTGTTAAAGTTATACTGGTAAGTACAATAAACCTACCGCAACCATTCAGTAACCTAGCAAGGATGTTGTAGCCTGAAAAATAGAATACCTAGAATCAGATTGGTAATCAGATGAAATCAGCCAGGCTAGTACTGTATCATCGCCTCACAAGCGCAACCCGTCTTCATCCTGATATAATCTAACCGTAGCTCTCTTCCACGTTGTAATCCTTCAAAATGGCGTACACGTAACTGTACTTCTGCACACACCTTGACATTTGTCGATCCTCGCTGGCTACTAATTGACAAGGACGATCTTTGAATTCCGGCTTGCACGAGGTCTCGTAGAATTTCTGCACGGTGCGTTGGTTCCTGTAGAGTTCTACAACCTTGCCCTCTCTGGAGAGGCCTCCACGAATTTGTTTGAAGCGTGTTTCCGAAGGGCAACATTCTACGTGAGACTGAGCCTCTGCAATTTCTTCTGAGCGCTTGCTGCTGTACTGAGAGTTTCTGTAGATCAAAATGAAAAAAAAACCACAGGTGTCAGAATAATAACTGCAATAGTGTTAGAAATACAAACACACAAAAAAAAAAACTTCGTTACAGGAAACAGAAATATTTAACTTTTCATGAAAGACAAGCAAACTTTCTCTCTCTCTCTCTCTCTCTCTCTCTCTCTCTCTCTCTCTCTCTCTCTCTCTCTCTCTCTCTCTCTCTCTCTCTCTCTCTCTCTCTCTCTCTCTCTCTTCTCTCTCTCTCTCTCTCCCCCCCCCCCTTTTTTTTTCACTGGTTTCAGCTCTGTGACTCATCGTTTGCGTAGTTCCGTACACCATGAACCCATTTACTAGCTATTTTTAATCCTTTAATCCCGGCCAGTTGTTTCTTCCCACACTCTGAATAAGACACTTTTAGCAACCGAGTAATACCTTCCAAGTCTTCTAGAGTTGAGTCAAGAACCGACATCACAGAACTCAGGGGATTCCCATAAGCGCTCCGTCTCCATTTTCAGCAGCCATTGAAGAGTTCCGATACTAATAGTGCCAGTAGCATTTTGATTAAACGCCCGTCTTGTCTTTCCTCTGAGCCTCTAGCATCTGCCAGAACCCCTCGTCCCCCAACTCCTGCATCAATCTCACCTGACTGTGGTGATCCATCTGTTCATCCGAACTATACACGCTCTCCCCAAGGAACTAACCACGTCTGCCTTATTATGTGGAGAGCCAACCAGTCTGCACGGCTGTTCATTTTTCAACACACCGGCGTCTCTCGGTGAAAAATTCTAGACAGTACTTCCTTACCCGTATCTTCAGCAGTGAAGCATGCCACTCAGCACGGAGAATGCCTGCCCTGACTTTCCTGAGTCAATTACAATCACAATATATATGTGTGTGTGTCATGTTCTCTAGCCAGCAGAAAGCTGCAGTAACCGCCTCCACCTCCATTCTTAAGCTGAATGTTGTAGTATCATATGCTAGGCTCTCCTGCACCAAACGTCAACCATTAACTTTTGCCAAGAAACCCAAGCACTTCTTCTGCCTCTTGACACTGAACCCTCTGTGTAAATAATCAAATCCTCTGAGCGAGCATTATCTAGGAAAATAGAACTATCGGACACGTATGGTAGAGTGATTAACTAAGAGAAGTGTAGAACATAATCTGACCGATGTACATGTTATACAGAGTTGTTTGGTACTCAAATAGTTAAACACACCCACATCATTCAACAATTTAACTTGGCTAACAACGTACAGTATGCCACAACTAGCAATGATCCAAAGATAAAAATTAGTGAGAGTCGAACATTTAAACAATGGACAGAAAGAATAACAGTCCCTAGCAACCGTCATTTACTAAGCATAAAAACGGGCAACCCCCTCCCCCCACATAAATTCCAACACTTCATCGCGGTGTCACGATGACACCGCACGTGACAGTGGCCACGAAAAAAAAAAGATACGTTAAGAACTCACTCGATTCTATTTTCTCAGCTGTTTCTTTTGTTTTTGAAGCAAAATAATCCTCAATTTTATCTGACTAAGACCAAGCGCAGCATCTATCATTGGGATTTAACAACAGCAGCAGCAGCAGTAGTAGTATTAGTAATAGCAATAGCAGCAGTTGTTGTTGTATTAGTAGTAGTATAGTAGTAGTTGTTATTCTTGTTTTTGTTATTGTTTTTTTTAAGACAGAGCTTTCCAAACTGTCACGCCACATAATTGTGTCGGCTGCAGTGTGAAGATATATCGCGCTAACATAATTTATGTACGTGTCCGTATCTCTTATAAGAGGTTAGCTCAACCTCTGGTTTGCTAGTAGACTGAATTACTGTGCCGGGAAATAATACTTGTCTTTTAAAAAAGGTTCACTAACAGGACACGTTTGAAATGCTCTGATGTAAGGAGTTTTAGTAGCTGATTTTTATTCCTTCGATTCACAATTGTTGATCTACAAGATGTTACATAAAAATTGCTGGTCTCACGACGTCGAACGATCGTCTGCAATAGAAAATGGTTTTCGATCAGTGGTAAGAGAGTCGCACCTTGGAAGGGCATGGGGTCTCAAAAAGTTATATTACCAAAGACAGCACTTAAACTGCAGCCATTTCCCCACATGTGGAGATATACGTGGGCATATTTTTAAATAGCTTCATAAATCAATTGTTTTACTTGCTACAGTGTGAGTTCAGTGAATATCGATACTATAGAACTGAAAGTCCATGTGTCTGCCTATATGTGTGTACATCTGCAAGCTATGAAGAACTCCTCCGAAACGGGGACGAGCAGAGGGGTTAAATAAGCAGATGTCATTTTGGCTGCAATGTCTAGTTTAACAGTGATATTTTCGGCAATTATTTATACTCATTTGTTTTAATTAACGCCGCATTCACTAAAAGTTAAAATTCGCTGCTGATATATACCTTAAGCACCTACATATTTTCATTATATCCTTGACAAAATTAGTTTCAAAAAGTTATATTTCGCTGCTCTCTCCCTCCGTTCCACTGCCTTCCTTAACAAGCATGTCATAAAAGTCGACTGATTAAGGTTTCCTTCGAAGTCTGCATCTACATAAGAGGCCAGAAACCAACAGTCCGCATGCAAAAAAAGCAAAATCTGTAAAATGGACATGCACACAAAACTCAAGTTCTGGAACAAGACTAAAGTCGAAAGTTAAAAAGTTGATTGTTTGTAGCTTGCCAGCATTGTAGTTCGCAGGGTTAACACCTCAATATAAGAATACTACATGCAAAACCTCAACTGATGACCTAACATTGAATAATCTTACTATATAGGAGACAACACATCTGTCATATTGTTTAACAATGGTTTCCAAACTCGAATACGTTTCAGATTTTCTGCACATTCGCCTACCACATGGAAGGCCCTCGATTCGAGACTCCATTGAAAATATTTTTGATTGTCTTTCAATAATTTATGTTCTATTTGTTTATTTTCAGTTTCGCTGTTCTCAGCACTTTCCGCATCAAACAGCCCAAGTATTAGAGGAAAATATATTAGTAGTGACACAGGTGACTACAAATAATTATGACTTAAGTGGAAACCGAGTTAACGCAAACTTAAAAATAAACAAGCAAACATTTGTTAAATGTATTTGTCTATTTCACTATTCTCAATGCTTTTCGCAACCAATAGTCAAAGTAGTGCAGTTAAAACTAGTAGTAAGAGGGTGACTTTTTCTTCTTCTTCAGCATTCCAAGCCCTTGAAGTTCATTGCTGCAGATATCACCCGCCTCCATTCATCTATCTTTCTGGTTGGCCTTCAGCATTCCAAGCCCTTGAAGTTCATTGCTGCAGATATCACCCGCCTCCATTCATCTATCTTTCTGGTTGGCCTTCAGCATTCCAAGCCCTTGAAGTTCATTGCTGCAGATATCACCCGCCTCCATTCATCTATCTTTCTGGTTGGCCTTCAGCATTCCAAGCCCTGAAGTTCATTGCTGCAGATATCACCCGCCTCCATTCATCTATCTTTCTGGTTGGCCTTCAGCATTCCAAGCCCTTGAAGTTCATTGCTGCAGATATCACCCGCCTCCATTCATCTATCTCTCTGGTTGGCCTTCCCTTTCCACTTGGTGACACCAAGTGTTTACAGGTCTCTCTGGACATTATCTCTCCATCGTCTTCTTGATCTGCCTCGTGGTCTACGACAATTCATCTCCCTTGTGTATACAGTTTTGACTTCTCTTTCATCTGACATTCTTTCAATATGCCCCAGCTATTTCAGTCTATAAGCTCTCACGATGCCAGTGATCAATGGTGATTTAAACATTAGGAATTTCGTTACTGCTTCTCACTCTCCGCTCCCCACTGTTCGCATCTTTGATGAGTCCAAAGATTCGTCATAAGACTGTTTTCGAAAACCTGTTATAAGGCTTCATCACTTTTAGTTGTGCTCCAAGTTTCTGAGCCATATAAAACGACTGGTCTTACTGATGTATTGATATATTTTTATCTTAGTGTTGCGACACTTTGACTTCATTAGATGTTGTGAGGGACATAGTATACTTTATTGTCTGACTGTATGCTAGATAGTATTTCTTCTCTCAGCATGTTGATGTTTGCAACCCAAGTACTTATATGTGTCCGTTCGTTTGAATTTAGTAAGAGGGTCACTAGAAGAAACAATTATGACTTACATGATAAGTTGCCACCAACACTTGGAGGGTACAGGTTAAATAAAGAGACATAGTTTAATGCTGCAGTTTTCGCCTACGATGTGTACGAGGGATTTCAGATTAAAGAAGAGACAGTGTTGGACTTAGAAGATGCCTACAATAAAGTACCATATGATTATTTAATGCAATTACTGCTTAAACTAGAAGTTAATCCTATTCTGATCCGCTGGATTGCTGCGGTCCTATTCCAGAGAAAGATTGTACTAAGATGTGGTAGCTGGTCCTCAGAACCGCAAACGATATGTCCAGGCTTGCCACAGGGATCACCGCTATCACCAGTCTTATTCATCGTTTATACAGTGATGATCACTGAGCAGCAGTTGAATGGAAAGGGAAGGACTTTGTCATTTGCTGATGACATTTTGATTTATCGACGAGGGCGTGATAGACAGGAGATCGCCAGCACTATGCACAAAGAACTCGATCGAATTGCCGCCTGGTGTGATGGTTCCAATGCCTATGTCAATCCTTCAAAGGCATCAGTGTCATGGTTCTCTTTGAACAATCACATTGTCAAGTCGGACTTACCAGAAGTGAAAATGCGTGATAATGTATTGATCAGAACCAACGTTATGACGTTTCTCGGGATGAGGTTCGATCGCAGCTTGTCATTCAGGGAACACGTTGACCATGTGATAACAAAAGCACGCAAAGGTCTATCTGCAATGAGGATTATGGCTGCTTCCAATATTGAGCAAAGACTACTAATACTTCTATTCTACGGTCTGGTCCTTTCCCCCATTGAATACGCTCTGGCCATCCTCACTGTCAGTGCTACCCAGATTGAACGACTCGAAAAGGTGC